AGATAGGCAGATCGATAGATAGATAGATAGACCCTATGTGTATATAAATATATACATATATGTCTATATGCACATACGTATGCATGCAAGGACGAACGAAAGGAAGGCAGGAAGGAAGGATGCATGTCTGTCTGCCTGCCTGTCTGTCTGCCTGCCTGTCTGTCTGTCTGTGTCTGTCTGTCTGTCTCTTGAGCCCAAAAGCCTCCTATACGAGTGCTCGGAACTTGGAGTGTTGGGGTATTGGGGCTCAGGGTTCGGGTTCAGAAGCTTTGAGTTAGATAAGCTACTTTCTGTGCAGAAGAGTGTCGTCATTCTAGCCGTGGTTCTAGCTTGATTCAAGTTCATATGCTTTTGCATTCCAAGCAAAGGCCTACCCTGAGGCACTGGGTTCCTGCTGGCTCAAACGCCTCCAAACAAGAACCGTATTCTCAAATGCTTCAATGTCAATCTCAATCCGGAACTCTAGCCCATATCCGAAGCCCGAAACCACCATTCCGTAAACCACACGCCGCAAACCCTAAACCCTGTTCCCAGAAAACCCTAAACCCTTGCCGAAGCCAAGAAAGAGGACGTCTTCGAAAGTCACGCTGGAGTCGGGGCGGGACCTGGCTACTGTGGTCTCTAGCTCAGCATGTTGGCTTCAAGTGTCTCGGGGTTCGTGGGTTTAGGGTTAAGGGTTTTGAGGTTTGGGGCTAAGGCTTTGCAGTTCAAGAAGTTTAGAGAGGTTTGGGACTTTGGGTTTTAGAGTTAAGGCGGGCATAGAGTTTCGATGTAGCTTCAGGGGCCTGCCACTGGAATCCGATGTACAAGAGCCCGTAAGCCCTAAACGCGAGCTCTGAGCCGCAGACTGTGTCACAGACCCTGAAATCCGAGTGCCCTGAACCCGAAGACCCGAACCTTTGTATCAAAGATCCTAAAGCCTCAATCCCTGAACTCTAAACCCCAGTGAAGTAACCAAACCATTATTATATGAAAGCAACGGTGAGCCTTATCGGAGCCCGTATGGTACCCTTCTAGTAACCCTACAGCCCCTTTGTTGAAGCCGGAGGCTTACGACCTTGCCGCCTTTGTTGGACATGAGGGCCCGCTGGAAGCTGAGATCTCTCTCAGCCCTGCCAGGTGTTCAGGGCCATGGGACTCTACGAGGATCTCTATTGGGGATGACAGGTTGCTAGCGTGTCAGGAGGGGTGTGAAATTTCTGTTTCCAGGATATAGGGCTTCGGGTTGGCGTCAGTGCAATCACCTCTTGAGCCCGGTAGACCCCTGAATCTTCTGCCCTAAAAGTGCCCGAAAGCCTATGAGGCCGCAACCCTGCACCTGCAACAAAACCCCAAACCACGAAAGCTTAAAGGCCCTCACCCGTGAGCTCCGAAGCGAACATCTTCGTGGCTGAGGTACACTCTGCACGAGATTTACCAAGCATTCAGCTTCTGTGACAAGATCGCAGCAATCCAGCAACAGGCCTTGAAGGCCTGCCTCTTGGAGCCTTTCCAGCGCTCCCATTGTCTCGAACGGTTTAGGGTTTAGGCTTTAGGTTTAGGATTCAGGGTTGAGGACCCCAAAACCCTGAAACCAAAACCCTGAAAGCCTGCCCCTTGACACCCAATGCCCTCAGCGACAATCTCTCAAAGGTTCCTGCACCTTTCTGGACTGTCCCTTTTTGAGCCACAACCAAAGTGCCAGCAACTTGCTTCCCAAGTAAGAACTACATGGTATGTCGGTTTGCAGATATTCAAAGCGCGGTTGCAAAGGGCGGATTGCTGTGTCACATTTTTATCAGATCAGAGTTCCCTTCGGCCTCTGTGGCTGGAGCCATGGCTTCGATGGAGTTCGAAGTGTCTTGGAATGGTGCAACCGAGAAGGTGGCTGTTCTCACCTCTTCATCGGCTGCCGAGCAGTCAGCCAAAGACATCTCTGAAACCTCGGAGACAACTATCGTTGGATTTGACACCGAGTGGGGCTCCAAGGGTGAAGTGGCTCTTGTGCAGTTGGCGACAGCTGATCGATGCTTACTGCTTCTGCTTCCGGAGGTTCACCTGCAGGACTGCCCTTCCCTCCTGAGACTCTTTGAGGATCCGCACTACTTGAAGGTTGGGGTAGCAGTAGGTCTGGATGCAGAGTTGCTAAAAGAGCAGTTCCAAATCGATCTCCGGGGCTGTGTCGATCTGGCGAGGTTGGCTGCAAGGGAGGGGGAGGTGAGGCAAACGCAGCCGATCGGACTTGCTGCTTTGACGCAGCAGCTGCTGGGAGTGGATCTTCCCAAAGATGCATCCATTCGCTGTTCCAACTGGGCTGAGCGCCCGCTTTCCCCTGACCAGCTTGCCTATGCTGCCAGGGATGCACTGGCTGGTCGGGACTGTGCAGCCGCGCTGGCCAGCAAGCATAAGCCACCCGATGCGCACTTGCTTGATTGGTGCCAAGGACTCTTGGACAAAGCAGGAAAAGATCCGAAGCCCGGGAAAGTGAAGAAGGCCGTCGCCGAGGATCCATCTGCGGGAGCTGATGCCGGTCGCCTGAAGGCAACTTTGGACTGTGGGGCCTACTCCTGCGTAACGAAGTTTGGAATGCGAACGATTCTTGGAAGTGACGGTAAGCCGCTCATGCACATGAAAGATCGCACCGTGGATGGACTGGTGAGACGCGGCATGGCGTCAATCTCCAAAGAGGGAGGTGTCGAAGTCGTTCGACTCAACTTCACCCCAACAGACCACTATGAGTATGCTGGCCTGGATGCTGCTGAGAGGAACGCATGTGTGGGCTGCGGCTCTTATGGAGTTGCTCGTTACTACATCGTCCCGAAGGTGTTCTTTTCCCACTTGCCAGAGGCTTGCAAATCTTACAACTGCCATGATGTTGTCATGCTATGCCCTCGCTGCCGAGCCATTGCCGAGCCGGCGCAGATGTCACTTACACAAGAGCTCTTAGCGGCCCATGGGGCCCTCCGCGCCGGGTCGCTGTATGCCAACGAGAATGCTTTGACGCAGGCCCAGATCACTGCCAAGAAGGCAGCCATCACGCTGCGGAAAGGTGGGACCAAGCCCTTCCTGCCTAACAAAGTGCAAGCCTTGCGAGAGGCAGTGGCTGCTGGATTCTTGGGCTGAATCTAGAACTTTGATGCAGGGTTTTCTGTGGTGCTGCATCTTTTTTGAATCCAAAAGACAGCCGAGGACTGGGAATGGCCGTGGAAGACCTTGGGGAGGCAATGTTGTGCAGCTTTTGTAGTAATACGACGACTCCCACTCTCACGAAGCGAAGTTACGTTCTAGTCCCAATCGTGGTCTGCTCCCTACCCGACCCATTACAGACTGCACCCTCCGCGGCCAAGAAACTGTTTAACAAATCCCGTTCCCTGAACTACAAGCCCAAACATCTGCAAAGTAGGTGAGCTATAGTGATCACACCAAACACTACTGACTGCTTAGTCGCTTAACATCTGGAGTGGAACCCACCGATGGCCGGAGCCTAGCACTACTATCCGGCAACGCAGTTTTGTTTCGGCAACTACATATTTTATACTACACACCTTAATGTAATCCCTCAAGTCAAGGTACAACTCGACACCCTACAGCCTAGTTTTGTCTCGACAACTACATATCTGATACTACGCACCTTAATGTAATCCCTCAACGTACAATTCGAGACCCTACATTCAAAAGTCAAACCCTCAACACTCCAACCTAGCTTTAAATCCTACACTCTGAGCCCTAGTTACCCTGAACCCCAAACTTCCAGATCTCTATCTATATCGATATCTGTCTGCATGTATGTATCTGTATGAACGTATGTCTATAACATCTATATCGATACCATCTCTACAAATATCTCTATGGTATCTAAAATAATATCTGTAATATCTGAAACATTTATAATACAATCTTGAAAGCATTTTTACTATCTAGAATATCAGTCACATCTATAATATCTAGAATCGCTGTAGCATCTTTAATATCCATAATATCAATTACATCCATAATATCTAACACTCTCTGAACCATCTTTAATATGTATAATATCTGTGACAAGTATCTGTTATGGCAATATCCGAATCATCCACATCTATATCCATATCTACACCTGTATCTATCTCTATGCCTAAGTCCATAATTAATGTTATAGTGTATGATACTCTAAGAGAGGCATCGTTCATCTTGGCAGAAAGCCTTGGTGCCGGTCGCCTTCCCAGCGAACGGGTTGTGGAAGAGGCAATGGCGAGTTCAGTGCCTTGGCGTTTTCGGCTTTAGGGTTTGAAGGCTTTAGGGTTCAGGTTTTGCGAGGGAGTTCGGATGTAGGGTTTGGTGGTTCAGGCTTGCTTGTGTTCAGGCTTGTCTGTCTGAGGATTTCAGGGTTTCGAGGCTTCGAGTGTTTGGGGCTTAAGGTCGTACTTCTGCGTTTCGTGTTCAGAGATCACTGAAGCGTTGTCGAGTCCTTAAGCTAGGGCATGGTGGTTTGGGCTTTCGGGCCTTAAAAGCTTGCGAGCTTCACGAGTCAGTATTTCTGATGTGTTCCTGGTGCTTTTCAGACCCAAAGTTCCCCAACCCCTAAGGCCCTAAATGGCCTAAACCCTATAAGGCCTAAACCCTATAAGGCCCTAAACGCTAAACCCTAAGGCCCTAAACCCAAAGGCCCTAAGCGTCAAAGCAACCCCGGATAAGAACCAAGCACCGAAAACTCGAGGGACAGTCCCTGGGACGTCAATGACTCAATGACCGACCAAGCGGTGTGATATAGGGCCCTAAATGATTACCGATACTGTTTCGGGGGTTCCTGATTCGAACTATATAGTATGGTTTACCTCAAAACCCTATTCTAGTTATTGAGGCCCCTACCGTAAGCAACAGCGAACCGAAGTTGCAGCGAAGTTTGCCCACCACGGCCAGCTCTGGAGGAGTCACTTCGGGCCTTCCTTCGAAGCTGGCGTGAGGCTTTCGTAAAGGCCCTGCAGCCCAAGTTCCTCTCCGAGGGGTGGAGTCTCGAAACAGGCCTCGACACGTTTGCAGAAACTGCTTCGGAGGAGGACTGTGGTAGTTGGGTTCTCGCGGGTGTAGGGATGCCGGAAAGTTCCAACTCCGCTCGGTCAGCGTCCCGCAAGGCCTAGATGGGCGCTTCATTCCGTCGGTGGCCTCATCTTTGGAGTGGCCCGGCGATTGGCGCTGCCCTTCCTGTGGCCTCCACTGCTTTGGGCGAAGTGACCGGTGCAAATCTTGCAAGACCGCACGGCCGACTGATTGCAGTGACGTGCCACCTTGAATTCCAACTTCCAACCTGAAGTTCACGCACGTTTTTGGGCTAGAAGTGTGGCGCGGCAGCGTGCGGCAAGCTGGAGCTGAATCGATCCCCACTGGCTCCTTTCTCATCTCCCCGGCATGTGAACACTCCTCCGATGGGTGCTCTCGAGGCTGTGCAAGGCCATTGGATCGGGATCTCCTGAACAGAGTCGGCAAGCTCCATCCGCAGTTTGTCATCTCATCAAAAAAGCATGATCGCGGTCATAGACTGGAATGGGTATCGCTGGCCTGATCTGATTCTTGAGCTCTTGTATTTGCGAGGATAAGTTGGGATTTTGTTGAAGGCTGCCGGGTCGTGGCATTGTCGAGAAGCTCGACAGCAGGGTCTGGGGCTCCGGATGGCAGGTCTAGGGCTCCATGCATTCTTGACATCCGATTCCTTCGACGCACAGTACCGGTTCGAGGTTGTTGAAGCAAAGATGAGTTAACAGCGTATTCAACCGAGAAACTAGGGTAGATGCTGTTCCGTGACCACATGTATAACCATCCTCCATCCCAAAGCCTGGCCAAGACTCTTAAAGGTTTAATGTTTGGTGTTCAGGGTTTGAGGTCAGTAGAATATGCTTGTGCAGTTTAATGTTTCGGGGGTGATCGGACCCAAGACGAGACCCGTACCTTGCCGCACAGACAGGAACGCCTCCCCGGCTCCACAGCCCTGACTCTGCAGCACTCTGCAATTTGGGACTTTCAAAGGTACATTATTTTGGGGTCCTTATAATAAGGATCCTACCATTTAGGGTACTATATTAGGGTCCCCTTTTTTCGGAAACCCCCATTTCGTGTTCAATGTCCACTCTGAACCTTTGGCTGCGGCTCAAGACTCCGTCGCTGGCTTCCGCTTCTGAGCAACCTCCAGCATCTATGGGAAACCTCCCGCCCCCTGCACCGGGAGAGATGGTCGTTGTGTTGCAGCGGGGCTGCTGTAGTTGTGCTGGGCCCAACTACGAGGTGCCAGATTCCTTGAAGAAGTTCCTGTCAGAGTTCGACGTCACAAGCATGAACAGACAGTTGCAGATGATGGATTGCATTGCTTTCTTGTGCAGCCTCGTTTACGCTGGTCTGGGTCTGCCTTGCAGGGGTCATGGTTGACGTGGTTGAGCAACCCGGGTTGTGGAATCTCTCCCATGGCGTGTGGCGGGGGGATTTGGCTTGACTTGGGCCGTGAAACTTACGATGAGGAGTAGATGGCTGTCCAGCTTCTTTGCTCCGAAGATGCCAGCTCGGAAAGTTCGTGGGAAGAACTGCGGTGAAGAGGCTCCAGGCTTCATGCCCCCACAAGACGGGACGACCTTCGGCGTGGAGAGCGCATGACGCTTTCAAACTCAGCCAGTTGCACTTGACCAGTAGGAACCGGATCGCTGGCATGCACGAGAACGTTTCTCCCCAAGGGAGGTGCCGAAGCCCCCCTCTAGGTGTGATCTGCATGTTGGCGCTTCGGTGAGGATTGATGTGTGTGAGTGTGGTTTGGTTGTCAGAGTTGTTTCTGCGTTAGTTGCTTGGAGTTTGGTGACAGTCGAGGCAGCTGTGCTGAGCAAGGTGAGTCCTTTTTCACCCTGAGACCTGCTGCCTCAACCTCGCAGCACAAAAAGTATTGCACCAATGGTTCGCCTGAGTGAGCATCACAACATACGATTGCAGAAAGAACCCCTGAAACCAAGGAGTTCCCTCGCCACGTGCTCGCCGTACAGAAGCATAAACGACAAGCCCCCAAACTCCTACACAGGTGCAGACTAAAACGCACGAATTATTCTCACACCTTTAAGGAGGCATGGCATCAATGAAGCTGCAACCCCAGAAAGCCAACATCTGCGAGTTGTTCTCGGCTGTTGGCGATTGTTCAAAACCACGTCTGCTAATAACGTTGGGTGTAAGTCCGATCATGTTGTGGACATCCCCCGCTGTGCCGGATGTGGTTGGGGCCCTTTTTATAAATTGCAGGTTTTGGAGTAGGTGGGACCCCCTCCGCTACACCATTTGGAAGATCTAGGACCCTTTTGTTACAACGATTGGAATGCACGGGCTTTAAGGTATGTTAAAGGTGTGGCCCAATGGCGCTGGGAAAGGGAGCAGTACCGGAGCTGTCATGGAGCTTTAGCGGAGCTGTACCGGAGCTGCAATGGAGAGGTGTAACGGAGCCGCAACAGAGAGCTGTATCGGAGAGCTGTGAAAGAAGCTGTAGTGCAGGTGGTGCGGACCTGTATCAAAACTACCGCAACAGGCTGAGAGGTGTAGCGGATCGAGGCTCTGGCAGGTGTATCTGGAATGTGCAATGATCCCTCGCCCCCGAAACTGTTACGAGGCGCCGGATGTCATAAACCGCGTATAAATTGCCAATACTATTCCGTATCGGGTTCCGCAGCTAGTATAAGTTGCAGTCAGCTAGTGTCCTTCAAAGCCCACTCTAAGCGTGTGTGTGTGTGTGCACATATATATATATATTCATTTTTAAGCTCCCTTGTGTTAGGCAAGTCCCTTCTCGCTGCTCTGAAGCCTTGCTGCCAGCTCCTCGAGATCGAGCTCAGACCCCCCGGATCCGGGTTGGCTGCGCGGCTGGACAGTGGCAGGCGGCTGAAGGCTGGCCGTTCTCCAGTCAGAAGAGTTTTCTTGCGTTGACATGCAGAGAGGCCCCTCATTCAGGAACGTCGATTTCGGGGTAGAGAGTTATAAGGATGTAGGTTTTAGGGGTTTGGTTTGAGGTAAGTTTAGGATTTGCGGCTTAAAGTTCATTTTTGAGGATTCAACGTGATGTAGGGTCTAAAGGATTCAAATCAAGAGATCTAGGACTTGGGATTGGTTGAATGAGGTGTAGGATTTGGAATCTAACGAGTTCGCAACGCGGCGTAGGGATTTGGGATTTGAGTCCGAGGGCTTAGGGGCACAAGGGTTGTGTCTGCTGATGTGTCGTTTTCAGTTTATGCGGGGTCTTGCGCTGCAGGGTTGGGCGCAGTTTTTTGCTCACCCTAATCCCTAAACCCTAAACTTCCGAAACCCCCAAACAAGGAAGGCTTAGGGCTTGGGTTTACGGGCTTAGAGCTACCCGAAGACTACGATCGACGAGTCCAGGGTCTGGCAGGGGAACCTGAAGGTGCCTTACAATGCCATTAAGGTACTGAACGTAAGTAATTAGACTTTGTTTCTTCCCCATGGGTCTAGATACCCTAAACCCTAAAACCTAAACTAACTTGCCCTAAATCCCAAAGCCTAACCCTCTAAGCCCCAAGCCTCAGTTGTTGAGCATTCCTGGCAGATCGCGGAAGCGGAGGAGGCTGTTGCGGAGGCCTTGGCCGCCGAGGCGGCAAAGATGGAGGCTGGGACTTTTGGACTTTGGGGTCTTGGGTTTGGGAGGGTTTAGGGGTTTAGGGTTCAGGGGTTCAGGGGTTTAGGGGTTTAGGGTTTAGGGGTTGAGGCTTTGGACTTGCAGCTTTTGTTTTTTTGGATGGTGGGAAATGAAGGTTTAAGTTGCGAAGAAGGGCTTGCAGGGTCAGCGGCTGGAGCAAAGAGCTCATCGAGGCTACGCGACACTCTCATTGTTTCGCCTACACTAGTGGAGGAGCTGCAGCCAACATGTCCAGAAATCGGGATGCATGCAAGGAGCCCCAGGAAGCCACTGCTCCTATGCCCAAAGACCGCTCTCTCAGAAGGTGCCCCTATTTGGGATACCTCCACACGTAGCTTAGTTGCAGGTGACCTCGCCTCCGAAGCCCTTGAGCCGGAAACCGAAATGAGCTTAAACTCCGCAGGGCCAAGACGAGGGCTCGCCACAGGCTCGGCAGCAAGCAAGTGTTATGATTCATGGGGCGGGATTGGGGAAGGGGGGGGGTTTAATAGCCTATACCAAGCCCGGGTCAGTCATTGTCACGGGTGCATGTCTTGCATGCGATAAAAGCGTGGTGGTGTTTCTCTACGTCTACTGGTGCTGATATAGCACTTGAAAATAGCACTTCGTATCTATCCTTCACAGGCTTTAACCGAAGAGCCTCCTCTGGATGTATCGTGAAAGGCAATTCTGCTGCTTCTGCCACAAAAGATTCAAGTTACGCCTCCTTCGACCCAAACCGTAAACTCAATCAAGTCCTAAGCTCTGCACCCCTCAGCCTGAAACCCTAAAAAACCCTACACCCAGGTCCGTTTCTTCGTCTCACCGTCCTCCCCAACTGCCTCCCTTTGCACCCGGCGCCTCCCCGTTTCGGAGGAGACCCGGGCCTTCGATGCAGAGCCGGACTCCTCCGAGGAGATCATGGCGACGCGAGCCGAGGCTGGCATCTTCTGTTTGAGAGAGAGAGAGAGAGATATATATATATATACGGATATATATATATATATGTATGTATATATATATACATATATATATATAGAGTCTCATACTTACTAATACTATTTTAGAGGGCTCCTTATTATAAGTATAGTATAATATACCCCAAAACCGTATTATATAAGGGCCTCAATAATTACAAATAATTACTACGGTTGAGGATACAAAGCCTGCACTACCCACAATAAGGAATATGCCACAATTCCCCATAGTTTAGGGCCCTTAAGGTAATGCAGGATTTATATCATCAACAGTACTTTAGGGGGCTCCTTATTATAAGTATAGTATAATATACCCCAAAAAACCCTATTCGAATTATTAAGGCCCCGATATTGATGCTACTAATCAGGGGTCGTCTAGTATTTTTTGTGATATTGCAAAGCTTGATTTCGTATTTATAGTATTGATATGTAGTTTCATACAGAATCATATAGTATAGTTACCGAACTATATAGAATCATATAGTATTATATAAAGATATATACAACTATACAGGATTTTGTAGTACAGTGTTGTTCTGCTGCGGTATCACCTCGAATCCCAGACCGCGCTCCCCGAGTCCCTGCCCGAGCAGCCGACAACCCGCAGCCCTTACACAACCCTAAAGCCCTCAACAAAAACGAAACCCTGTGTTTGGGGTTTAGGGTAGGGTTTAGGGTTTAGGGTTTAGCCCACAAAAGAACGAAACCTTGAACCGCTAAAGCCCACCAGGAGGAGGCAAGAAAGAAGTCCGAGCGACAAGAGCGGGGAAGGCCAGGATCGTTCGTTTTGGGGTGATCGGGGTCGGATTCGGGGATTGGGGGAGAAGGGTTTCGGGTTTACGGGTCTAGGGTTTATAGGGGGTTAGGTGTTTAGGATTTAGGGGTTTGGGGGTTTACGGTTTCGGGTTTAGCGTTCAGGTGTTTAGGGCTTAGAGGGTTTAGGGGCAGTGCTACCAACACGAGCAGGAATGCCAACATGAATACCAAGCTTCTGATGGGTGGGGTGGTATGGACAGGAGGCCCGGCATCTCCCCAAGGTCTACTCCAACGCTCCGACCTCTAGAGGCTTCAAACCTCCCGAAGTCCGAAGACCTCAGGAGCCGTAAGTTTCAAGAGGGCCCTACCCTGAAACCTGAAACCGAAAGGAACCCAGACCCCGAAAAAATTCCCAGACTCAGCGGGCGATTTCTCCAGGTGGTGGCCCCCAAGCCCTGATCGCCTGAAGCTCTGGCTGCGGGCCGGGGCGAGCTTCATGCACTGCGACGAGTCGAGGCTCCAGCCGGGAGAGTTTGGCGGTTCCGGGCCTGGCAGGGCTGAGACTACGGCGATGAGCATCAAAGGGTTCTAAGGGTTGGCAGCCGCAGGATAGCAGCCCTAAGCCCTAAAATAACCCTAAACCCTAAACCCTAAAACAACCCCTAAACCCTAAAAGCATAGCAGGTGTTTCAGCTTCGAAGCAGGAGTGGGAGAGCAGCCGAAACAGCCGAAGTAGTGAGAAGTCTCCTGGTTCTCTAGGGCCAGCGGCTCATGACTCTGAGCTTTGAAGGGTGTTCTGGACAAGGTCTAGCGGTTTAGGGTTTTCAGGTTTTGGGCTTTTAGGGTTTTAGGGGTTTAGGCTTCAGGGTTGTAGGGTTATTCAACAACAGCATCACTGCTGCTAGTGCTGATATGTTACGGGCCTGCGACTGCAAGCCTCGCGAAGGGGTTTTTGGGTAATCGAAGAATGCGCGCTGTATGCTGTCCATGCTCTGACTAGGCTGAACAGGACAACTACAGGCCTCCGGCGCTGAACCATACATCGTAAGCCCAGCCTAATTCAACTCGACAGTGCAAGTCTTAAACACCCAAACTGTGCGTCCGGGCACCCTATAACTCGGATATCGGAGGTCAAGTCGACAGCAAGCTTGATGGAAAACCCCATGGCCCCCCAGCGTTGAACCCCGAGTTCCTTTTTAAGGCCGCAAAGTACAAGAACCCACCGAAGCCCTAAACTCTTTAGAGCCCTAAACCCTAAACCCTAAACCCTAAAAGCCCTAAAAGCCCTAAGCCCGAAGCCCTTAACTCTAAGAGCACGTGCCATGCAAGGCAAACTTTTGCTGCCATACTCTGCGAGGTGTTGGCCCAGGGGGGGAAGAGTTCAGAGGTGTCTTGAAATTTGAGAGCGCTTTGGTTGTGAAGTCTTAGGGTTGGGATGCTTCCGGAGTTTTCAGAAGTATTGGAGAAAACAAGGGACTCTAAGTCTGTAAGGTAGACCCCGAGCTGGACCTAGTTGTCGATTTCGGGCGTCATAGCTTCGGCTGGGCTTCAGGGTTTTTTTCGTTGTCTCGCCGGTTTTAGGTTTCGGGTCGAGGCCCATACCTCGCCTCAATGTGGACTTCTTCGACTAGAATAGCTTCGGCACGAAGGCTTGCTGGTAGCTTCGATGGTGTTGGTGAACTGCTTGGCCATGTTTCGCCCATTCAGCCCTTCATGTGGCCACCACTCGCCCAGTTGGTCATAGAGGTTACCGTGCTGCTTTGAAGGAGGCATAGTCAGGGATACTCTGCATCTTCGACGCAACACTGAGACTGGGAGCCTTGCTAGGCACCGCTGCGCAGACTGCGACCATTGCTGGCAGTCGTGGTAGGTGTGGCATCTCACGTCCACAGGTGTGCGGTTGCTCCAGTAGACCCACTCGACTTCAAACGAAAGCACATAGTTCAGGTGTTTCATATTCGACTCCGTCCTAAGCTCGGCCATGTTCACAATCTCATCACAGAAGCGGGCTGAACAGAGAATCCCAAGCTTGAAGCCCGCATCCCCAACTCCGGAATCTGAGAAACCACGACTCTTTGAAGCCCCCTTAAACCCTAAACCCTAAACCCCTAAAGCCCTAAAGCCCTAAAGCCCTAAACCCAACGCCGGAGTCCTGAATGGAGGCGGCGGTGCAGTGCGTCCGGGAGGCTGCTCAGGTGCCGCCGCGGTAGGTCGGGTGTGTACTGAAGGCTTCTTAGGTTGTTGGGTCGAAGATGGGTAGTGGTAGAGGCGATTCATGAAGATGACTTTAGTGGGTTTAGTGGGTTTAGGGCTTATAGGGTTTAGGGGTTTGGGGTTTAGGGCCTTAGTGTCATAATGCAGCACAGCCTTCACGTGACTGTGGGCTCGGGCATGACCTGAATCGCAGCCGGGCCTAGCTACAGCTTCCAAGATCCTGATCCCCTAAAATAATAATAATAACAATCATGATAATAATAATAATGATGGTAATAGTAATAGTAACAATAATAATGACAACAATAATAATAATAACTTAATGCTGAAGCTTCCTATGTATACTCGAATACGTGCCGTATGACAGTCCGATCCAAAGACCTGATCCAAAATGGATAGGTGATTGCAAGGATGAGGGTAACAGCCACAAGCACTTGCATCAGTCTTCTGATCGTTATGCCTCCGCTGATGATGTCTGACGATAGTCGTTGACGAGTTTACGAGGCTCGGAGCACCACCAACAAAAAAACAAGAAATGTGGCCTTGTGCTTATCCGGAAAACCCAGCCAGAGAGACTCCACAAGTTTGAGGACCAAACCTGGGAAGCCTTGGCACAAGGGGAGGATGTGAAGTTAGAGGCCCCATGATCGTGGGTTTAGGGTATTCAGGGCTCGTGGGCTCAGGGCTTTGGGGTCTTGGGGTTTGGGGCTGTGTGTTTTGGGGTATGAGGTGTATGAGTATCCTAGGGTTTAGGAGTTTGCGATACCTGCTGCTTTCTACGCAGACCGCTCAGGGCAGTAACCGCGATCATCGCCGTCGGAATATTCGAAATCACTTATTCTCAGTCTTAAATCTCTTTCAGAACATGTCATGCAAAGTAGAACCCGATGGAGGTTTAGGGGTGGGCAGGGTGTTTCTGCAAGCCTCAAGAGTCAGTGGAGTGGCTGGTTCATTTATGGGCCCGGCACCTGTCGTGGAAATGTTATGATCAAGACCAGTATCCTGAGCCGGCCTTGCAGATCCTGAACCCGAAACCTCAGCAAGATTGGCTGTTTGAAGCTGAGGGGTTCAGCACGCAGTATAGATACCTTACCTCTCTCATGCGGGCACTTTTCTTTCAAGGAAACCATTTCTCTGTCCAGGATAGCCAAAGATGCAAACAGCAAAGGGCTGATGAGGGTTTTGCGTCTAGTTCGCACTCCGAAAAACTAAAACGGCAGGCTTCAATTCTGAGGGAACATGTAAACACAAGAACCTTGCACCAGGTTCCACTCTCACGGATACCAGCCTGCCTGAAGCTGCCGTGGGTGCAATGCAGGAAGTCACGGAAGGCAGTGGATGTCGAGCCCGAAAGCTGGATCGTGCCCCAGGCTGATTGTTGCTCAATTGACGGACAGTGCGGTGACAGCGTTCTGTCGCTGCAGAGATGAGAAGCTGAAATGCAGGTCTCAAGTGGCTTGACCCTTGGTCCGTTGAGTTTGTCCACCGAGTCTTGTAGGCTGTGTGCCGGTTAAGATCCTGTTCACACAGTTCAAGACAGTTGCGTTTCTCCCAAGGCCCAACTTAAACCCTAAACCCTAAACCCTAAACCCTAAACCCTAGCCGAAAAGCTATAAACCAGCAGCTGGCCTGGCCAGTCTGAGGACGAGGGCTGCGCAGAGGCGCTTCGGTTCATGATCTCGGAGGCCATAGAGTCCCGAAGACTCCCAAAAAAATTAGCAGGACCCACCTCGCGATCGAAAGCCTACAGATCTTGCGTACTTAGCTTTGGCTATTTCGTTCGATTCCCAGGTTTTGGGGCCTCAGGCTGATGTATAGCCGGTAGTATGGGAAGACAGATAAGAGGTCTAGGAAGATGTGGAGTGGCTGTGATCGTTCCTAAATGTCTGCAGGAGAATCATTCCGAACGGCGCGACCCATTAAGATTAGCCACCACAGCCTCAAAGCAATGCCCACGATGCGGATCAACAGCATCACTGCCAACTCTGTGCGTGAGATTTGGAGCTTTCGCTGCTGGGTTTGGTGCTGGCAGGTCTTAAGGGCAATGCTGCCTTGACCAGGTAGTCAGTAGTCAGTCTACTATCAGACAATGGTGTTGATAGCTCGTAGTCGAGTCTAGCAAGTCTAGTAGTATTCCGTGAATTCCGCAATATCAGGAGATAACTTTCTGCCAAGACAGTGTGCTGGTTGAGAGTACTTCGAGATCCTTCCCCCGAAAGGATCCAGACCTTAACGCACAATGCTGCCCAGAACGAGGTGTTTGGCTCCAGCCTCATCCGCAGGAGCATCTGTTTCTGGGATCTGTAGGACACTGTAGGATGTCCGAGAAGTGGAATGTGGTGGCTGTGGGACTTGGAACACCCGAGCTGCCGCCGTCGAAACGAAGTAAAGCTTACCACAGCCGTGGCATTCGAGGGGACACAAACATGTGTCGAGTCGCCTCGCAGTTTTCCATAGTGGCTGCAAGCAGAGCAAGGCCTTCTGTGAAGGGAGCTTGGATGCGCTGGTCTGGGCTACTGCTCCTGTCCGGCACGATCTGCTTTCTACCGTCCACACTTCGCCAGCCGCTGGTTCAGAGCCACCGAAGCCTCCGAGCTCATGGTGTCCATAGGGACCGGCAGCCGACAGATGTTGGGAAGGTGTGTCTTGCGAGCCAGGGCTTCGAATCGGATTCCGGCCCAGCCAAAAGAGCTTCGAACTCCCAACCTTCCTTTGCCTGGAGGTTTTTGCTAAGCCTCGTGACGGGAGCGATGGTGGGATCTATTCAGTATCTCTACGTTCTTTCAAGGCATCTGCAAGATTGCGAGTGGACGCTGAAGGCTGATGGCCTGGCGCGACGAGCATTCCCAAGCTATCTATCCGGCACCTCGACAGGCTGGTTGAGCTGGGCGGTCTCGTCTGGTTGGACATGGCTCTTTGCCGATGTCGCGCACACAGCTGCGAAGCTTCAGGCCATGCTACGAGCTACGTCTGGACTTCTCGTGGGACTGCTAGCAGTGCAGCTGGCTTGGAGTAGCTGTGCTTGGCTTAGGGGCAGCGTCCCGGATGAAAAGATTGGTTGGCGAATGTGGAGGACAATCATCATTTGGGTAGTCACTGTGCAGGCCAGCAGCCTTTGTTGCAACCTTGCACTCAAGAAACTTTGTGTTCGATCTTCATGGACTGGACTGCCATATTATGACGAAGGACATGCACTTTGCGCCCTTTGCTCGATCCTGGGCGGGGTGATCGCATCGACTGTCTTGTCGATGAGCCTGCAGAACATATAAGACTTCGTGACAACTCCAAGCGACGGCGGTCGGTGAAAGCCCGAAGTTGGTGATCAGCTCTGTGGGCTTTTTTGAAAGAGGGAGAAGTAGCAGTAGCATGTCTTGGAGA